TAAAAATCGCTCTAGCACAGACAGAAGACTATAACAACATAGACTCAGCTTGGAAAAATATCAAAGTAGCTCTGACAAGTGTATCAGATGAAATACTAGGACACAAAAAGAAAACAACAAAAAAATGGTTCGATAATGATTGCCTGAACTCCATATTAGCAAGAAATATGGCTAGAAGGAACATGCTACAAAACCCCTCGCACAACAACAATGAAATGTATAGACAAAGAAGAACAGAGACAAGAAAACTACTGAAAAGGAAGAAGAGAGAGTATCAGGAACAAATAATCAGAGATATAGAAGAAAAAAGACAGAACAAACAAGCGAGGCAGTTCTTTAAAGGAGTTTCAGATATCAAGACCGGGTACCAAGCAAGAACAGGAAACTTTCTTCAAAACGACAGTGGACAGCTTATCACTGATGACAAGGAAATCTTAAAAACCTGGAAGGAATACTTCTATCAACTATTGAATGACCAATCTAGCAGAAGTACAACAAACATAGAGGTACATACAGCTGAAATAGAAGACCAATACCCGACATACGAAGAAGTAATACACGCAATTAAAAAACTCAAAAATAATAAGACACCAGGTAGCGATGGTTAACCCGCAGAGTGCTTAAAACATGGAGGAGAAGCGTTGTACAGTTCGATATACAAGCTAATTCAAGACATTTGGCAAGAAGAAACAATGCCAGATGAATGGAAAAAAGGGGTTATTGTACCAATACACAAAAAAGGAAACAAAAAGCAATGTATTAACTACAGGGGAATAACACTCCTAAACACCACCTACAAAATCCTTGCAAACATCCTGCTAGAAAGAACCAAAACATACACAGAAGAAATCGTTGAGATTATCAATGCGGATTTAGACCGGGCCGCTCTACAATTGACCAGATATTCACAATAAAACAGACAATGGAAGAATGCTGGGAGTTTGATCGTGAGCTTCATCAGATGTTCATAGATTTTAAACAAGCATTTGATAGAGTATGTAGGGACAGACTGTGGACAGCGATGCAGGAACTTGGCTTTCCAAAAAAACTAGTCCGGTTGATACGGATGTGTATGGAACGGTTACGATGTAAGGTGAGAGTTGGACAACAATACTCGGAGACATTTGAAATAAACAATGGACTAAAGCAGGGAGATGCACTTTCACCACAACTCTTCAACTTAGCTCTGGAGCACATAATCAGAAGTGCAAGAATCGAAAAACCGAATACAGTATTTCATCGAGAAGGACCAAACTTACTACTGGCATTTGCAGACGATATAGATCTAATAGGAAACACGCGATTAAGGATGAAGGAGACTTTCGTAAGGTTTGAGAAGGAAGCAGAGAAGATGGGGCTCCAAATCAACGAAAACAAGACGAAATATATGTATATGAGCCGCAATAACCAAAGCAGAGACAGAATCGGTCAGAACATTACCATCGATGACTTTAACTTTGAGCGCGTTAGAGAATTCAAGTATCTTGGAATAACAATAACTGAAGACAATAACGTATCACAAGAAATAAACAACAGGATTCAGGCCGGCAACAGATGTATTTTTGCCCTCCAAAATCTTATAAAATCAAAACAACTAACACGACGTACGAAGATACAGGTCTATAAAACAATCATACGACCCGTTGTGATGTATGGAAGCGAAACGTGGACGATAACAAAGGCAAATGAAGAGAGACTACGTGTTTGGGAAAGAAAAATCCTAAGGAAGATCTTTGGTCCGGTGCTTGATGAAGCATCAGGACAATATAGGATAAGAACTAATAAAGAGCTTGAAGAACTTTACCCAGACGCCAACATCATAAAAGAAATAAAGTCCAGAAGACTCCAATGGGCAGGACACCTCAGAAGACATTCTGACGAACGAACAGTAAGACTGGTGTGCGAGGAAGTCCCAACTGGAAGGAGACCACGCGGACGACCTCGTCTCCAGTGGCGAGATAATATAGCAGGAGACCTAAGCACTATGGGCGTGGAGAATTGGATGGAGGTTGCTCAAGACAGAAAACAGTGGAGGCATGTTGTCGAGTCGGCTAAAACCCACGAAGGGTTGCAACGCCACGGAGTAAGTAAGTAAGTAACTCTATATATTTATGCAACAAGTGTTACTAAGATGATTACGTCCGGAGAGCAACATAATCTAGCCAGAGGGACTCTGGACCGAGGGTGCATGTTGCTCGATGGATGCCACATGGATATGCTACAACTAGAGCTCAAGAATAATTTTTAGTAATAATCGGAAAAAAAAATATAGTGTCTATATTAATTATCATCTTACAGCTTATGCTCCACTCAACTATTGAAGATTATTCAAAACCTTACCTTGTTCTAGAGCCAATCGCGCTGAGAAATGAAAATTTTTGAGATGCTATTTTATTTACTGAAGAATCTAGATCTAAATTTTATCCAGATTCAGAGCAGATAAGACTGTAAACGCCATTTGAAAACATGAAATATATCAGAAATATCCAGGAAGTTTACACATACAGAGGTCCTATGGAGCGCAATACATAACTTTCTGACAATTTTTCAACAGTACCTTAATACCATTTTTTAATTGATACCATAGTTGATATATTACCATAGAAGACGTAATCTCCGAATTTTAACTCAATCGAACATATATGTGGATCATTCTTCAAGATAACTAGTATATTAGAACAAAAAATGAAGTTAAGATCAAGCAAAGAAGAAAGTACTGAGGAAAACTGGACGAGATTTAAAGACATCTTAAAGACTGTTCAAGAAACAAAATTGAGTGCGCTAAAAGCAAGAAAAAAAAACAAGGGTGGATGACAGAAGAAATACTGAGACTTATGGATCAAAGAAGAGAAGTCAGAAATAAAGATAAAAACGAATACAAGAGGATCCACGCAATAATCAGGCAGAAGATAAGACACACGAAAACACAATTTCATAGTAAAGAATGTAATGAAATTGAACAATATGAAAAGAAACACGATATATTTCATCTGCACAAGAAATTAAAAAAAGTCGCTCGAAACAAACGGAAACAAGTATACCAAAGTTTAGAAGACAGAAACGGACACAGAATATTAGACATCAATGAAAAGTTAAAAGAATGAGAAAACTACATTTCTGAATTATTTGAATATGAGAGAGTAGAACACTATACACCGATTGCTACATCAGGTCCATCTATAACAGAAAGTGAGGTAAGACGTTAAATACAAACGGCAAAAAATGGAAAAGCACTTGGCCCCGATGAAGTAAGTGCTGAAATACTAAAGTTTTTGGAAGGAAATGGAATTAAAGCTCTGTGTAATATCTCTAACAGAATTTATGACACTGGGATATTACCAACTGATTGGTTAAAGTCGACATTTGTCACAATGCCTAAGAAACATTGTCCAAAGACATGCGGTGATTATCGGACAATAACTCTGATGAGTCATGTTTTGAAGATCTTCCTGCGAGTAATACACAGCAGAATTTACACGCTGTTAGAGGACAGAATTAGCAATACTCAATTTGGGTTTAGGAGTGGCTTGGGTACAAGAGAAGCCTTGTTTAGTATACAGGTGCTAGTACAGAGATGCAGAGATATAAATCAAAATGTGTACATGTGTGCAATCGATTTTGAATAAGTCGACAAAGTCCGACATAACAAAATGCTAGAAATATTGGAAACAGCTGGATTGGATGATAAAGATCTACAAATAATTACAAATCTATACTGGCATCAAGTGGCAAGAATAAAGGTTAAACAAAAACTGTCGGATGAAATAAATATAAAAAGAGGAGTGAGACCAGGCTGTATATTGTCGCCTTTACTTTTTAACTTATATTCGGAGGAAATATTTAAGGAAGCCTTAATGGAGACAACCGAAGGTATTATTGTGAATGACCGTCAACAATATTAGATATGCCGACGATACGAGTATGGATTAAAACTCAACGTTAAGAAAACTAAATATATGATAGTTAGCAAACAAAATTATATACAGGATGACGGTATAAAAGTCGGAGATGCCACACTGGACAGAGTAGAGAAACTCGTGTATCTCGGCAGTAATATCAATGAGAGCTGGGATCCAACCGCAGAAATTAAAAGCCGAATAGAACAAGCCCGAGCTGCCTTTGTAAAAATGAGAAACGTACTTTGCAGTCACGATCTTAGCATTGACCTAAGAGTTTGTATGACATCTTGCTATATCCTTCCTGTCCTGCTGTATGGAGTGGAAACGTGGACTCTAACTAAGGCTATGCTTAAACGCTTGACAGCCTTTGAGATGTGGGTATAGAGATGACTACTGAAAATAAGCTGGGTCGACAGAGTTAGAAATGAGGAGGTCCTTAGACGGCTGAGCCAAACAACACAACTGGTCAATATAATAAAGAAACGCAAGCTGGAATACTTCGGTCACATTATGGGACACCCTGAAAAATATGATCTTTTACATCTGATCATTCAGGGAAAGATCCAAGGTAATCGTGGTCCTGGTAGACGAAGAACATCATGGCTGAAAAATCTGAGGCAATGGTATGGAAAATCAACTACATCGTTATTTAGAGCTGCTGTCAATAAAGTCGCAATAGCGAATATGGTAGCGAACATGATATCCAATGATCGATAACGGTCATGGAACTAGAACAAGAAGAAGATTCTTGAAGAATCGAGTCATCATTACTCCACTTATGGAAAATATTCAAAATACGTTTCGTCGTTGGAAGAATTTAATAACAACGTAGAGAAATATACTTTAAAATGACAGAGAAAATACGACTGTGAGTAATAGATAAGGAGCTGTGGAGAATAAAACGTGGAATGGTTTAAATTTAAAAGAACTTACGTATGGGTACTTCAGTATTTTATTTAAACATGCTGTTTAAAAGTAATTGTTTCTATTTAAAATAAAAAATCTCAAAAATTTCCGAAAATATTAATACGTTTTATGGACTTAAACGTTTTATTAAAACCCTTACTTTTCTCTTATACATAGAAACTATAATGTACTTACTTGTATATGTAGATTGTGATATTTTGCTAAAACACCCAGCTCTTTCATTAAGGCCATATCAACACTTAATGCAAACCTTGGAGTAATAATCGGTTTCACTAAGTTTGACTAAAACAAAAAATTTCATTAATTTAAAATAAGATAGTTGGATAGCTATTTATTACATAACATCACATCCTATAGTGTTTATGAAATAATACCGCACCACGAAATAAATTATGGTAACCAAAATTTTCTCTTCAAATATACATATAATCATTAAACAAAGAGTCCGATGTGATTTATGTATCCCAGACCGATATGTATGTAAGCGATATATCTAACATATTCTACCTTAATTCTGTTACCTGTATTTAATATAATGACAACTTGATTATTTTAAATGTATACAGTTTTATATGTGAAAGAAGAAGAACGTAGGGGATACTAATGAATCAAAACCTGCGACAATCGCTTCCATGACGAAGACCGAAGAGGAATCCAGGCAGTCAGAAGAAAAGTCATAGGGGCAATAAATTGAATAATCAAAAGATGGGTAAACCAGATGGTAAAACTGGAACCTGTATATATGTATATATATATATATATATATATATATATATATATATATATATATATATATCGGCGCCCTCATCGTGCGCCCCTGTCAGGTCGCCTACCAAAATAAAACCACCCCTTCTTCGACGTTGAATAGTCCCGGACGAGTTCATTGTAGAACGAAGCATATATCCTGAGCGGTCTGGAAGGGTATTCTTGTAGAATATCGTAGGTCATAGAATAGAAAGAGGAAGAACAAAGAGAAAAGTTTTCACCCTTGTCTCTGCTTCCTACTGGAACAAGATTAGGACAGATTAGTTTTCCACTGTAGTTTCCTGACTAAAGGAGTTCTTATCACTGAATTATTATAATATGTGTAACATATATATCCTGTACCTGCTCTGGGTATATTTAGGCAAAGTAGAAGAGAAGTAGGAAAAAAGGTTGTTTGTAGGTAACAAGTGTACCTGCTGTAGGTATATTCAAAGTAGAAAAAAAGTGAGATAAAGATAAAGATCTTATATTGATCTGATCTGCTTATCAAGGAGAAATCATAAAACTCCTTATAAGAAAGTCAAGTGTTTATTTAGAGTATGGAACTTCTTGGTGGAGTTTATTGAAAAAGCAAGGTGCCATAGATAAGTAATGTCTCCTCTGTTAAGAAAAAGAACTGAGTATGAGTTTATGAAACGGTTATAATAAAAACTACAGTTGATTTCAAGTAAAAAATTAACTGTTCATTAAAAAGCTAGTTTTAGAAAATAGATCAAAATGTATATTAAAAGTATTAACAGTGTGGGAAAAACAAATAAAAATTTACACATTAACTTACAAAAGTTTTCGTCTTATGGCAATTTTTTTACCTCTTCATAATTTCTGATCAAGTAAAAGTTGTTTTTATTAAATATAATTATATAGTGATATTGTCAGATCATGCACTTAAATAAATTCATAAAATGTTTTAATTAGGTCCACATTATAATTTAACTGTCTCCAAGATAAACTCTTGGACAAAATTAATGCATCCCTTGATGTAAAGGATTAATTTATATATTTTAAAACAGACAAAAAATAAATTGTACTTCTAAATGGATATTATTTACCTAAAATGACATTCTATTAAAACAAAACGATATTAAAGAGCATATACCTGCGTGCATTAAGTACAGGTCTAGGTATAGGCACTAACTCCGTATAGACATCATAGGCTATGAATGTACAGCGTTAACAGACCTTTTGGGCCCATTGCTGGATGGATAATTTTCATCGTTTTCTGTTCTTAGCTATCGGCTTCCAATCTCTGATTCCCATCTCTCTGACATCTTCCATCACCACATCTCTCCATTTCTTTCTTGGTCTTCCTTTCTTTTTTGCCCTTATTTACTCTCCAATAATATTCTTGACTACTATATTACCTTGCATTGTTTCTAAATGTCCGAGCCATTCTAGTCTACGTTTTTTACCACTTTTGTTATTGTAGGGTTAGCATACAAATGGTACACTTCTGCATTCTCTCTATCACTTTTTTCCACAAAATATTCTGCGAAGTATCTTTCTTTCCCATGCTTCCAATCTGTTCTGTATGGTATTGTTCATAGTCCATATCTCAACAGCGTATAGCATTGTGCAGCATTGCTCCAGTACACCTGTTGTTCTTGGTCAGTCTCAGGTTGATTTCAATTTCTTACTTACATGTCTGATAAATAAAAGTACCTTAGTACATATATTCATCCACCTTCTCGAATTCTCCAACTGATCCATCCTCCACCTCCAATTTAAAGGATCTCCTGGTGTTTATTTCTTTTTTGCTCGAGATTTCCATGTACTTCGATTTATTAATATTAACTTTAAGTCCCATTTTAGACCTTTCCTGAATCAGTCTTTTTGCTATATTTGCCAGTTCTTTTCCATCTCTTGCAACTAGAACCACATCATCAGCGTATGCTAAGCATTGGTGCTCCATATATAAAATAGTGCCGGACCTATTTATCCCACTAACCCTTACAATTTTTTCTAGAACTATATTGAATAGCAATGTAGACAACGGGTCTCCTTGGCGAACATGTTTTTTTACTTCGAATTACTATTTGAGGTTTAGGAACATTATAATTTTCTTCAGTAGTCACTCCGTCATTACGTATCTCTTCGAAATATTCTTTCTACCTTTCACATATGTGGTCTTCGTCCACTATCAGGTTTCCTTACTTATCTTTTACATTCATCGTTCTTCCCTGATACCCAGTTTTAATGTATTTTACCTCTTTGTAATTAAATTTTATTTCATTTTTCTTGTAATTTTCTTAATACGCTTTACTTTATCATCCATATACTTTCGTTTCCGCTCCCTTAGAATTTTCTTTGCTTTTTTTCGTTGTTCTGCATATCTTTCTAGGTCTTCTTCTTTTTGCGATCGTAAATTTTTTAATCTCAAATCTGATCTTTTTTTAAACTCTGTTCTACATTCGTCATCGGTTTTTTGTAAATATTTTTGTACGTGGCATGTTCTTCGACATTGTTTCCTTTATAGTGTTTGTCATTTTCAAAAACATTTGTTGTGTGTTACTCACAGTAGTACTGTTTTGTTTGGCGTAGGTTTCTTGTATATTCTTTTGATAATCCTGCACTACCTCAAATTTTCCCAGTTTTTCAAAACTAAATTTGCAGTTTCTTCTTTTTGGTTATGCTTTTTAATTATTGCTTCTAAAAAAATGATGTGGGTCTACGTCAGCCTCTCTGCACGTCTGCACCAAAGGCTATACCTCCCCAAAACTTGAGACTTCCTCCGGCAAATGGTTCCCTTGAAGAAATGCATTACTAGGAAAGTTTTGTGAGATTTATTTCACATAGAAAAAGTCCTTTAACAGTATGTTTAGGCAAATCTTTCACCTGTTTTTTTACAACTCTAGGGTGGCCGTCTGATGCTCGCAGTACAATTCCTGTCTCGCCTAAACAAAGCGCTTTCGATCGTATATATTCACTCTACGTACTGTGTGGCAAATCTTAAACGAATAACATGGTATTGTCTGATGAGAAGAGGTCCGGTAGCGGGCCTCCTATTACTCAAATTTACTTCGTTAACATGTATTCTAACTGTCCGATCAGGAATACCGACGTGACTACTTTTTGAATCAAATTAATACAGCTACAGCTGGTACTGGTAGGTGTTCTATTACTCATAACATAAATTATCTCCTTGAAAAGTAGCTCTATGTCGTCCTTGTCCTAGTCTTCTTGAGTCTTTTCAAGTCTTCCAAAAAAAGTTGCAATGTTCTGCTGATCGTTATATGAACATCCATAACACGAGCCATATATTCATGGCTTGGACAGCTTTATTTTCAAATTGATGGCTAGTTATATCCATGCTTAATAGAAAAGAAGGCTTATGTTTTGAAACCAATTAAAAATTTAACGTTAAGTTACGCTGATAGTCAGCGAAAAATAGAAAACATAACTAAAGGAATTTAAACAAAAAAAAAAATGAAATTTAAAAAGTGTACAAGTTAATTGCTGTTCCATCTATTTATAATTTTCCAACAAAATAAGCAGTGTTTTATTAGGAACACTGCTACACACTATCCAGGAGTGTATAAATAGATAAAAAAAAATTCCATGTTAAAAAATAAAACAAATATTGGAATTATTATAAAAACAATTATCGCGTGAATGATAGTGGCTAATTAATTTAACTTTATTGTTTATTATAAATAAGTTGGTAAAAATTTCCATCAAAATATTATGAAGATAAGCAAATGAATAGAGCATAATATTTGCCAATAAATTATTTTATTAATACACTATTATAAAAAAAAGTAAAGAAAAGATAATAATAATAATAATTCAGACTACACAATTTTGGTTACGGTATCCATATAATAAGTAATCAAACCATAATAAATTAAGAATTAAATGATTTATGAAATTTTACGATTATTTGATGTGATATTAGCTTTCAATAATAAAACAAAAATAAAAACACAATACTGGTTTTTAATTTCCACAGAATAGGAGGATATTAAATCTAAAATTTATAAAAAAAGTTGAGGCTTCGCTGTAGCTACCATGATTTTTTAATGTTAGTTTTTCTTCCCCAGTTTAATAACTGATATTATTCATTTTTCAGCTATTTTTAGGTTGCAAAGTAGCACTTGTACCCTTTCCTTTTACTCCAAGTATATAAAGTCGGTCAGATAGCCAAGCGGGATGGGCGGCCGGTTCTCAATCGCTTCACTGCGAATGGTTCAGTGGATGTGGGTTCGATCCCCAGCTCGGTGTACAGAAAATAAAAAGGCTAACGTAGCAGTTTAAAATTCTAGATGAATCTGCGGCTTAGACTAGAATATGCTGGTGTCTGATCGGCCTATTGTGGAGTAGTACGGCAACAGATAAGGGCTTGCGGCTCGGTGATACTCCTCCATAGATCCCTATCGGAAGGGCGTGCCGCCTAAATACCGGTATAATATATATATATATATATATATATATATATATATATATATATATATATATATATATATATATATATAAGATGGTGGTATTCTTGACTGTTGATTTAAATATAAGTTATGATTTTTGAGGATGCAGTCAGTTTATTTGGCCCACAAGACAAAGAAAACTCTTTGACTTACTGTCAAGCTTTCGAATTTTATTTAATTCTTTTTCAAGACATCTATAAAAAGAAATATAAATTAACTAGTTAAAATTGTTAATTTTCTTACTTACTAGTCGTGAGATTACAGTTTTTAATATTGTACTCTACAAAACAAACCATAATAAATATAATAAAATTTTTTTATTAAAAATAACTATATTGTCACTATATATGTCACTGTCATGGTTTGATTAATGGACATATATGAATGAAAATACAGTTACTTTATGTGGAAAGCAAAACCAGTAACAATAGTTTTTATTATAATTTATTTAATTGTCTATAAAAAATATAAATTAATCCAGTCAAATTATTTAAAGGATTAGAAAACATAAAAATTGCCACCTTACCTAGTAAGTAAGAAAATTAACAATTTTAACTAGTTAATTTATATTTCTTTTTATAGATGTCTTGAAAAAGAATTAAATAAAATTCGAAAGCTTGACAGTAAGTCAAAGAGTTTTCTTTGTCTTGTGGGCCAAATAAACTGACTGCATCCTCAAAAATCATAACTTATATATATATATATATATATATATATATATATATATATATATATATATATAGTGTAGGATACAAGCAAAAAAATGTAAAGACAAAGTTTATCTATAAAATTCATCTAACACTTAAAAATTATTAATGGCATTGGCTTATGATTCATCAATATCAGTGCCGTAAATGTAATTCAGATCGTCAATCCTCCAATTCACCTTGTTCAGCCTCTTCTAAGATTGCTCGTTCTGCATCTTGTTGACCATCATGTCGCAGCTTTATGAAAAATCCATGGTAAATTGGAAGTACATACATAGTTAATCCTTGGTGAATATTTGAATATTTAGCTTGCTAAATGAGATGCCTTTTCCCAAAGAGTACTGGTAAGATATTTGGCAGGATGGCAGGGAATTTGCCAGCTTGAGTGGAGTTAATAAATAACTCACTAATCTCTTCCAATGTACCTCCAGCTGTCTTCTTGTAAAACAGGGTGAAAGGTTTGTCATGTTGAAAATGTAACCATTGTATACTCTGCCTTTTACTTACGTTCTTCTTTCTATGTCTACTTGTAGAAGTTACTAGCTCCATCCAATGTTGAAGCAAGCTATAAAAGTCCTTTTTTCTCTTTTAAGGAGAGAAAATTATATTTCCTATCATTTACGTGACGCCTGACCTTCGTGCCGCATTAAGAAATTGGCTGTTCCAGTCTATAGATTATGGACTACTAAGTTATATGTTCATAATTGCCTTAGAAGTATGTTGGCTGATTTCTAACTATTCAAATAGAACAAACAATATCTTTGACAAAGGTAAAAAGGTAAAAAAAGGTAAAAAAGAAATAATTAGACTTAATCACAATCAATTTAATTTTACTACCTCAGACGACCGGTTTCGCTTTCTAAAATTTGCAAAGCATCATCAGGTCAGTGGTACAAAGTAAATTAAATGCTAAAGTCTGACACAGTGCAAAAAGAGTAAAAGTGAACTTGTCTATATCTCTTCTCTTCCAAGCCCTAATCATAGGTGGGTTGGAGGTTAAGTAGCTTGTCGCTATACAGTAGCACTTGTTGGACTTATACCTCTGTACCTTCAATTAGAATGATAAATTTTTATTTCAGCAATGGAGCTATCTTAATACATATTTAAAAAATGTTACCTATTCTCCTTTACTTCTAGTAAATTGAGTTTACAACAGAAAATGAGCAGAACAAAACAAATGATCTGATAAACTATAAGCAATATAAATAATAAATTTGAATTTGTTGACAATCAAAAATAATAAAGATTAAAATTTCTCTTCGGTGTTTTGCACACAGAATAGTACATTTAAAATTTCTCTTCGGAGGAATCTGACTTTACAGCTAAACATGCAAATTGAGGATATTCTGTGGCAATTTAAAAAAAGTGTTTTGTTTTATTATTTAAGAATTAAATATTTAACCTTGAGTTTTATCTAAGTTTGTACAAAATATCTAAGTCTCTTCGAATAATTAATAACAGATACTCACTTCCTTGGACAAAACATAGTTGATGAATTCTTTGGTATTACTAATAGATTCTTCTGGTGTTTCTATGTAATCTTCAGGTGCCAAATGTGTCATGTTAATTTTTCCTATAAGGGCTCTCTGTCTGTGTTCAATTACTGTATCTACCAAGAGATTGGTACTGCTGTTAAATAAACATCCAAAATAACAGGCTGTTGTTGTGCCATGGGAAAGAGTTTTTTGCTAAAAAGAGTGTATATTCTTTAAATTTGGGCTTTTTTCATAAATATCGACATAGAAATCCGAACACCCATTAAAAATTTATTTATTTTAATAAAATTTGGTATACAGGCTTATCTAGGCAAAAACAATAAATTATTATAATTTCAGTTATATTACTTTAGGTTTTCGTATTTTATTTATTTTTTATTTCTAAATTTGCTAACTACTAAAAATTTTAACTTTTAAGTTTAGTACCGATAAAAATTTAGCAGTGTCATGTTCTTGTTATTTTTTGCGAATTTTTGTTACGTGCAAATTTCGACCAACTGAGTTTGATAGGGGGCGGATAGTTGACATAAGGGAAGCTGGATTTTATTTTCGGGAAATTTCGAATGGACTTCACATAAGTTTAGGAACTATATTAAGATGTTATCGGGCATGGCGTCAAGAAGGCCGAATACGAAGATCGAGGGGCACAACGCAGCGCTGAGAACAATAAAGCGTCAAGCGTCAAGATAGTCGCGCAAGGTTGAAGGCTTTGAGAAACCGCTTTTTCATTACCCGGTTTATTGCAAATCAATGGTTTACAAAACATAGAAGACCAATTGGAATACGAACAATTTATCGTCAAATTCGCAGTATCGGCTTTTTTTATTTCGGTCACACTGGGTGCTACTTGTTACTTCTGAACATCGACGTAATCGTCTTGCATGGTACAGAGGGCCTGGGACCAGGAATTGAATTAGGTTATCTTTAGTGATGAATCTCGATTTTGTTTAAGGATATATAAAGGTCGAGCCAGGGTCAGATGGAAGATGGTGAACGACAAAATTCATAGTTTGCACGTGCAAACTGGCACGTGCACTGCACTAGGTGAGGTGCAGTACTTATGGTTTAAGGTCACTCATAATTTTCGTCAGAAGGAACATAATAGCTCAAATATAATAGAACATAATAGAACAAAATAATTGGGAAAACTTTGGGAGGGGTTAATAAGGGTACGGAATGAGATATCTCAGGAGGATATTGACGACTTAATCAAAAGCGATCACAGGCGCATGCAATTGTCCACCAAGGTGTATTAACATATTATCAATTAATTTATCTCTGTAAGTTGTTTCGTCATATTGAAATTTATATTGTTTGTTTATTTTGCTAACGTTTATAATTGTCTAAAATATTTTCAAAATATAATTTATAATGAGTGTTTGAATTTCTATGTCATTTAGTATATATGGAACGCAGTTTATTATTAATGCGCCAAAATAATTTCTCTATAGATTAGTATTATATTTAAACTATATAGTGTTAGAAGAGTTAATAAATTTTATTAGGTATGATATGTATATTAGCAAAGGGAAAACTTTAACCCAGAAATATATATTTCTACCCAAAAGTCCAAACTGAATCATGAAAACATCTCATACTATATTACATTTTAATGATAAAAGACAGGACTTTAAATCAAAAAATAATATTAGTCATATAAAAACTAAGATTACACCACGTTGTGCCATAATTTATAATATAACCGTAATTAGTAATGGCATAATGATACCAATTAAAATCTCAAAGAAAAATTATAGTTCCTTAAGGATATGGTGACACTATTTTATTTATTTGCAGGATTGATCTAACTTTCCATATCTTCGTTTCTTGCAGCATGCTAAATATCCGTGACTCTAGTTATATCTTAACAGATAATATCCAAAATGTTAGTGATATTGCTAGTAAGGCACGGATTAGTGGACTTTGCCTTATTTTGTTGGTTTGTCGTAATATGTCGAAGAAGTTGCCTTCACAAATTAGCGGAATTGAATGATCGATTTAGGTGAGCTAAGATTAATGTGGAGAGAAGCTATAAACTCATATTAATAATACTATATAACTAATCTGGACCTGCAGAAGAGTTGTTGTTAAAACCTGGGGGTTCGTATCATATCGTAAATTAGAGGTGATCTATAGGGTACATAGTAGTGTACAACGGTACCAAAAGCCCCAGTAAGTCCTAAGAATCCAAAATTATTAAATTTAACAAAATTAGAAGAAAAGTACATTGTGGTAATAATAGAGTCGAGACAAGGAATTAGCAGATAGAACGACTAACAAAGAGAGCGATAACTACTTTAATACTAGCCAGACGCACTCATAGAAAATGTGGAATTTAAATCAAGACAGGTTATATTGGATTTATTACGATACGGTGGTGGTAAATAACATATGGATCTGTGGTATGGTAGCGAAAAATATAGCAAAAAAATTTGCAATCCTCAAATGATGTTTGAAAGTACAGGGGCTTTGAGAGGCATGCTAACAACAGGAGGACATGGATACACTTCCTCGGCTGCACATCGTTATAAAGGGAAAGACGAGAATGGGATATTATAGATTGCGGTAAATACTTATTAACGTAATATTTAAATTAGGATATAGCAACACCATAAATGAAATTAGGGACACTGTATGGATGATTGACTTCTTACCATATCGTATCCAAATATAGGCTTAAGCGCCTTTTCATAAGGACATCAGTCTTAGAGAGGTATGAGACAAAAAAAAAATAAAACCCACTTAGGCTGCACGGCTACACCTAGTATATATAGGGATCTGTAAAATTGCAGAATCAAGGTGAATGGAGTATTGATCAACAACATAAGATATGCTGATGATGGTGTCTTAATTTGTGACAACATAGTCGATCTTCAACAACTTATCACTTTAATCGGAGAATACAGTGAGCGAATGGGACTAGAGATTAATACCAAAAAGACCAAATTCATGATCATCTCCAGAAACTTGGATGCATTTGAAAACTCCACCATAACACTGAATAGTAAATCCATAGAAAGAGTGAGTAAATTTAAATACCTGGGATCGTGGCTTTTTGAAGACTGGGCATCGGACAGGGAAGTAAAATGTCGCATTGAGCAAGCTCGACAAGCTTTCGTAAAATTCAAGAAGGTACTGACTTGTTCTGAGTTCGACCTTCAACTGAGACTAAGGTTTACTAAGTGCTACGTATGGTCAGTGCTGCTATATGGCGTAGAGGGCTGGACACTCAAAACGAGGGATATAAACAGATTGGAAGCTTTCGAAATGTGGCTTTATCGCCGTATCCTAAAAATACAATGGACAGCGAAAATCACAAATATAGATGTCCTTAAAAGAATAAACCAAGAACGCCAACTTTTCGAAACCATCAAGAAAAGGAAAACGGCGTATCTAGGTCACATCATGCGAAGTGAAAAATACCAGTTCCTCCAACTTATAATCGAGGGTAAAATTGAAGGCAAGAGAGGAATGGGACGCAAGAAAATGTCCTGGCTCCGAAACATAAGGCAATGGACAGGGATTAACGACATACAATCTCTGATACATATTGCAAGAAATAGAGAGTTAATGGAAAATGTGATCGCTAACATCCATTAGTGGATTTGCATCTGAAGAAGAAGAAGAAAATTGCAGAATGGTCGAATGCAAAAATACTCAATAGTGTTAACATTTTTATTCCAGTAGTAAAATTCACCTTTGTATTTCAGGTAGAGATTTATACAAGCTTTTATTCTGCAAGAAAAATCAATATGAGGGCTCCAAAACTTAAAATAATAAAATATATTTAAAAATAATTAGAGGCTTTGGACTCACGGGAGCATCTAGGCTAGTGTGGAATGCCTAGAAATACTTAACAGACTGGCCGAGTATAATGGTACTACTCTGGTATGTGTACTAGGTCTTGGAGGAATACTGTAACATTCTATTTTCCTAAAACTTAACACTTTTGACGGTACTCTACCAAGATATGCCGTACTTAAGTCCCCATATCATTTACTTTGTAAACTATTCGGAAAATGTCCTAATATTGTCGCTGACTAAGCCTCAATTTCCCCCATATATTTCAATTCCGTCTAAGTTTAAACTCGTTGAGTAATATAAGCGCAAGTTCAAATAAGGACTAAGAGTACTTGGTCTGTTATAAACAGTACCGAACATCCCTATTACATTTCATTTCTCAGTTTGTTGTGGCAATGGCCGCTGACGTCAATTTACGTCAAGTTTTTTCAAGTACAGTTCAGTAAAGAAAAACCCACGTATGTAGTAAGTTTTATTATATTTTCACTATACTTATAAACAAGTATACGTTTCATTTTGTATTAATAGAGAAGTTACTCACTTTTTTATATTATGGGAACATTATGTGTTATTTATAGAAAATATTATAAAGTAAATCCAAAAAGCTTTTTCAGTTTAAGAGATTGTAGTCCATATTCGTTAGTTTTAGAGTGTTGAGGAATAATTAATTTGATTTACCTATTAAATAATGTTCTATTTCGTTTTGATCGAGGACCGCAATCTATTGAGCAATAAATTCACTGTTTTATTGACGATACAACTTTTTTGTAGCATATAGGTAAATATGTCAATTTTAGTAGTTTTGCTTATGTAATTCTTTGATAAGTTTCCTGACGATTCTATATAGATGTTTAAAAAATGTCGTGTTAAGATTTATTGACACCCCATCTTTTGCGGTTTGGCTCTATTTTAGTATTTCTTAGCGTTTTGGATATATCTATTATCCATTTGTTATCCATATATCTATCTGTTCCATCTATTATTCTCCTATTAGTCATGACACTCCTAATTCTGAGCAACGATTCTTATGTACGATCGCCTTATTACTACCTGATCTTCTTTTCTTCAATTCCTTTCAGATGATTTTTCGTTACACAATAACGAAAGAACTGTTGAACTTACTAACAGAATATCTACTATAAAAAACTTAGGTTCAGAACCAGAATATAACACAACTTCCACTGGTAAAACGTACATGGTCAAACACTTGATAAAATTAATATTGGAAGGACATGCATTAATGGAGGTAAAAAACTGCAAAAAACAACCAGGATTAAGTTCATAACTATAACATGCTTCCTTACCATGCACAAATCAAGGGACACGTGCAGACAAGAAGTGGCTCATCTGTTTTATAGAGACTTAGCTGTAGACTCTGTGGCATATAACCT